TGAAACTTTGAAAAAAGTTTTCTCAAATGAGAAAAAATGGTTTCAAGAAAGACCTTCCGGCACTTCCTCCACGCAAATTTTTCCATGTTTATATTATTAATAAGTAATCATACGGTTTTTCTCGTTCAATTTGGAGTTAATTTGCACTTGTGAGTTTTTCAAAAAGCTGAAATTACACTCGCTGAAGCGGCTCGTGCAATTTCAGCTTTTTGAAAAACTCACTCTTGCAAATTAATTCCAAATTGAACTCAAAACCGTATGATTACCTATACAAATACAACACTCGTAAAATTCATACAAAACCACATCCAGGACTCGAGTGGTGTATTTTCCATATCCTCACTTAGTCTAGTGAAGATATCGATGATTTCACTGATATCAAGTTTGTCTCTTACGTTGTACTTAAATCTGTTGGTATATCATCGAAATATCTTCAGGTCTTCCTAGAAAGTCTTTGGCAATCTTCGGTAATCTTCGGAAATCTTCGGCAATCTTCAGAACAATATCTCATGCTCTTGCCACTCAAACATAAAATTCATATCTTCTTGCCACTGTGTAATATCCTCTATATACTTCAGGTACATGTAAACTATGTCCCCTAGTTCAAACAGCAGTGAAAGAGCTGTTCATCAACGTAATAGACCGAAATCATGCAGATGCCAAATTTAAAGTTGTCAAATCAGAAAAGCCTCATGAAGTGATTGGAATGCCGAAAACTCTACTAAATATCTAGAAATTGTTTATTCATTAAGTTTTAAACAGAAGATCGTGGCCAGCCAGTATGAAGCCTTATGCACCTAAATGTACAGTATTGGCATGAAAAGGGATAATGACGATGATGACAATGATAAGAAATAAACTACCCATAAATTTAAAACCCCATCAATTAAAGAATTTAGGCTTCAGATTCATTTCCATTCATACTGAAATCTAGAAAAGTAAATGAGAACTTTTTAACATAAAATTCTTCCTTGTGAATAATTTATCAGCACACTCAAAAGATCATTTAAAATATTCACCCCGGGATAAGTTTACGACCACTAAAAATTATCGGCAAAATGTAATGGCACGGGTCTTTTTTGAATAATTACGGTAATAGCACTTATAGTCCGTTTATTTATCCAACAATTACGATGTACGTCAGCTGAAGTAATTATTTATACGTGAAAGATCCCCGTCGAAATGTAAACATTTCCAGCGGATTTCGAAAAACTATATTGTCATGTAAATACTCGCTTGGTCCGTCGGTGAAGTCATTTTTTTTTTTTTTGCTTTTATGATTGATCTTACATGAGCATATCCAAAGGATGGAACAGGACTATTCATGTTGTGACAATAAATAACGAAAACATTATGCAAGCCATGCAAGTTTTCGCTTGCGTCAAATACACACATGATAACGACATTTGGCTTCACATACTGTTGTATTGTAGTTCGTGACAAAAACAATAACCAGGGATTTCAATTAAAGGGAAATCAAGTAAAGGAACTACTAGCCAACAACGACTTTATTTAACATGGCAAGACATAGTCGAAAATGCTACTCACCTTGTAGCAAAGCGTCGCCAAATTTGAAGGATTCTCGTCTCGTAGTGACCTGATTTCCGAAGCAGGAATCAAAGTGAACACGTCGCTGATATTCGCCGCCGATTCGGACCAAAACTGATCCCAGAAAGTGTCATCTGTAGCTTCTACAGCCTGAAAAGGATCGATGTAGTCTAGTTTGTTATTTTCGTTGAGTTGGTTATCAGTTGGATTGACCGCAGCCATTGATTGCCTTATGCGAAGAAATTCGAGAGGCATCCCATAAAAATGAAAAAAATACATTGTCATAATTTCCCTCACCGTCTTTTTTGTCGTCAGTTGAACGACGGCCTTCCTAAAATTTAGTTTACTGTCCGAACCTCCCATTCCAACGACTAAATTTTCCCTCCTCTTTTTCTTTGTGACTGTTTAGAACAAGTGAAGTGCGCATCCTCCGTCGCCTGTTTTCTCCGCCACGTCGGTTCGGTGATTGTCGTGAATTTTCGTAATACTTCGGAATNCAACATCCAAATTCGAAGTGACGTAGACGTGGACGACAAAAGCGGTTAAAATTATGTCCAACACGGGAGAAACGCGACTTCACTTCGAAGGAGTTCTCGACAAGCATGGCAAGAGGTTCTTCGAGGTGGGTGTTTTGACGTTTGGAAGTTTAATAACATATTAAGATGCATTGATCTGCCATCTCATGTCACCCCAAATGTTTTTCGTATTGTAAAGGAGAACACATCAAATGAATCCACGCTGCTACATCTTTGATCTCCGTCTCCGAGAAGAATCGAACGAACAACAATTAACTACAATGTCGCGTGGATTGTCGATCGAAAGATCAGCAGGAGCTCGGATCAAGGTTGTTGATCTGATTATCACGCTCTGAAAATCTCTCTGGAAGATAATTTGTGTGTGATGTTTGATTCTAAACTGTTGATCGGGAACGGCTTGAGTTCTAATATAGCCTTGATATGCTGTAAATGGTATCTTGAGAAAGCATATTTGAAAAGTTCGCTGAAGCAATACTTTGATGAAGCACTCGACTGAAACGCGCATTGAGGCGATCATATTTAAATTTTGTTTTTCTAGTCCTTCCCTTGATCACTTAACTTTGTGGTCTCTTATGGATTAAATGGTAACTTAATTAAGACCAACCGAAAACATCGTTTTATGTCAGGAACGTCAACGTTACCATGCACCTTGTTAACTTCCGCTTGATCGACGTTCTGCAGATTATGGTCATTTACAGAGGACATTGGTGGGTTCTGAACACAGCTATACCGCAGAAAAAAATCGGCAAACACTGCAACTTCGCAACGAAATCGCCAAATTATTAGAACTATAAATTATAAATTATATTATTAAATACCCCATTACTTCAATACCGAGTAATAACTTTGGTGTCATACCGAAACTACTACGTATAGGTACTTTCATAGGTGTAGGGGCACTTTCGTGCTTTGTGGGGGATGGGGGATGGGGGGTGAGGGGCTATGACCTCTATGAACTGTCTCAATCTAAGAAAATCTAAAACTTATTAAAAGAAAAAGTTCTAAAAAACTAACTAACTGCAGAAACTTTATTTACGAGTTTTGGAAATCACACCAACAGCATTATTTTGTAATGTTCTCTCTCAAGTGTTGTTGCCCTAATCATTAGCGTTTTGCCTGAAAAATCTCATAATGGGTGATTCCAGAAAATATCCATACCAAATTACCATGGGTGGCATCTTGG